TCCATGCGTTGGTCTGTACCATTCAACCAAGCACAAACTCAAGCCACTGCACCTCCACCTGCCAACCAGGTACTCCGACAAGCACCTCCTCCCAACGTACCAGAACCAGAAGATCAACAAGTGAGGAATGCATAGGAGATGATATATGTTCCTGGGGTCAGAAGAAATAATAGAGTTTTCAAGTCTAAATTAATGAGGTAAGTGTATATCTCTTCAAGGAGATGCAAGAGAAGAGGTACATTTTCAGTTGTCCGCCGGCATTCTACAAGTGCTCGTTGGACATCAGGCCACCACAGGATTAACTCACAACTAAACAGTGATGATTATTTGGAATATTAGGGGTGGTAATAATGATAATTTTCGGAGAAATAATTGATACCCACAGCCACAAACCATGCATGGTGGCTTTGTTGGAAGCTCGTATGGATAATCATATTAACCTCCTCAATGACTTCGCGACAAGCTAGAGGAATGGTTATACTATGGGACTCCAATGTGGTCGGTGTCCACAACTTTGTTAAGAGGAACCTAGAAATTCATGCTAACATGGAGGTAAGTGACCACAAGGCTATTCTCTTCTATATATGCTAGTACTAAAATAGAAAATAGAAATACTTTATGGCATAACATAGAAAATATTTATGATACTTACAAAGGCCCATGGCTTCTAGATGGTGATTTCAACGACAATTTTAGCAGGAATATTGATAAGTTTGGTGGAAACCCCATCAATCGCACCCTGCTTATGGACAAGTATTAACAAGTGTAACCTCATGGATCTAGGATATAAGGGTTGTAAATACACTTGGTCCAATCATCGTAAGAAATCTAGAGGTACGACTTGATAGGATCTCTGTTAACAATGATTGTATCAATTTATTTCCAAAGGCTACTGTAGTGGTCATAATCCCTTATTGATCCAACTAATTCCTAGAAATTTTAACTACAATGACAAACCTTTTACGTTAAAGACCATTTGGTGTAGATTCCCAGATTTCATAAATATTATACGATAAAGTTGGAATAACAATGACTTTAACAATGCTCTAAACCTGTTTAGAGATAGGATTCATATTTGAAAACATGATACACATTTTCAAAAAGAAGAAAAGACTGTTAGCTTGCTTAAATGGTATCCAATCTTCCCCAAATTACTATTGTAACATGTTTTTACAAGACCTAGAGTCAAAACTCCAACTTGTGTATAATAATATCCTTAAGATGGAAGAGGACTTTTGGAAATTACCTTCTCGTATCTCTTAGCTAAATGAAGGTGATGCCAATACTAGGTTCTACGCCTCTAACAGAAAATGTGGTAATACTATTATGTACTTTAAGAATGATAATGGTGAGTGAATTTCTGACCCAAAAGCCATCCTAGAACACACTCACAACTTCTTTCAATTTGCTTTCACTACATCCAAATCCATAACAAACAGGAATGCCATCTTTCTTGAAAGAACCCACTGCAACAACAACATACCCAATATTATCCCACAACCCACTAGCCATACTAATTTAGACCTAACAAGCTTAGATAGACCATTGGTTAATAATGAAATCACTCAAGCAATTTTTTCTTTCAAGCCCTTTAAGGCTCCAAGGACCAGATGGCTTGCACCCATTTTTCGACCAAAAATATTGGCATATTAGTGTTAGCTCAGTGTTAAAAAATTTTCACAAGGTCTTCGAAACTCAATTTTTACCCAACAATACTAATGATACCTACTTATGCCTCATTCCAAAAATTTGCCAATGCTAATAATCTAAAAAACTTCAGGCCGGTTGACCTTTGTAAAACGTCTTATAAAATTGTCACCAAGATTATTGCCAACAGACTTAAGTCTCATCTTCCTAATTTGATTAGTCCACTCCAATCTAATTTTATAAAAAAAAATAGGAGAGCTAGCGATAATGCCATCATCATTCAAGAGCTCATAAATAACTTACACAATTTTAGAAGCTCTAAATTCAATATAATGTTAAAAATTGATCTTGAAAAGGCATTTAATCGACTGAAATGGTCGTTTGTATATAGAACTCTTAGATTTTTTAATTTTCCTCCTAAGATTTCTAAGCTAGTAATGCACTGTATTTGCGCAAGTACCATTGGGGTGCTTGTAAATGGTACAAAGTTCAACTTCTTTAGTCTTAGTAGAAGCCTACGCCAAGGGGATCCTATGTCTCCTTATATTTTTATTCTATGTATGGTACTGCTCTCACGACTAATTAACCATCAAGTTGACATTATGCTAAGGGAACCTATTAAGGTTAATTATAAAAGCCCTAGTTTCTCTCATCTTTTTTTCGTGGATGATCTAATTCTAATGGGAAAGGCTAGCCATAAAACTGGACATTGTATCAAAAAGTGCCTGGAATTATTTTGTCAAGAGTCGTGTCATTCTATAAATTACTCTAAATAAAAAATAATCTTCTTGAAAAACTGCCCTTCGAGTACTACTTTCTACTTTGCTAACTTATTTGGCATGAAAATTAACTATGAATCTGGCAAATATCTTGGATTCCCAATTCTTAACCATAAGCCCAAACCTGCGAACTTCTAATTTGTTATCGACAAAATGCGATTTAGATTGTCATTTTGGAAATCAAAGTTCCTTAACATTACTGGTAGAGGTTACTGGGATACTTCTCAAATTAGTAGTGTGGTGAACCCATCTAGAGGATCAAATGTTGATTTTAGAGGTTGTACAAGGATACCAAATAGTACCTTCATTGCAAATCCTCCAACCTAAATTTTTGAAATATCCTCCAACCCTAACATGTCCGGTTTACAAAACAGGTGTGGAAGATATTCAATACATTTTTCTTCTCTGTTCAATAGCTTCTCATTTTTGGGAAGAATTAGGCATTGTGAGAACAATCCAACCACCATATATAGTATCCACTGGCTAATTCACATAAAGGACTCCCACCTACAGAATGCTAAGCACAACATCAATTGGGAAAGTCATGTTTCCATTCACCATTTGGAACCTTTGGAAAAATAGGAACAATAATCTAGCTAGCTTTAGACTTGAACCCAATTATTAAAGTTATTCATCAAGCCTGGGAATTTAATTTCTTTACTGAAAGGAATCGTCTTAAGATTGGAAGGATCAGAATCGAGGTAAAATGGCAAAAGCCCAACAACAACACTATCAAACTAAATATAGACGGTGCATTCTCAAAGGATACGATGGAGATGAATTTTACACAAGTGGAGATTAAGATTCACTTCACATAAATCACTAAACTACTGATCGAGTGACGATAACGAATCTTTTAATAACACTCTATTTGATTGCAGGTTATTAATGCGTACTCAGACATATATAACTTCAGGGAAGGAAATGGAGATGCGCATCAACTAGCCAAGGAAGCTATTACCCACTTCAAGCCAACTAAATGTGTTTACCTTACTCGTCCTCCTTTTTTCTTGAACCAGAACTACATAGAAACAAGCAAGGAATATGTAGTAGTACTACGTATTTTCCTACCGACTATGTTATGTCTGTGTAATATTTTGATACAGTTCTAGTAATATAAGCTTCCTTTTCTTTCAAAAAAAAAAGACTTACATGTTATAAGTTGATAACTAGATGGTATATACATGTTGATTTTTGATTTCGCATTACGATTGAAGGATTACCACATCAATTGGTAACTATAACGGAAGACAAATATAATAGGCGATAGGCTTTGATTTATTGTATGACTTAAGGTATGTAAAATAAATATAAGTCTAATATTTATACTATTTTCTACACAAGCCACTTATTAAGTAATCTTTATTTGATATTTTTCCTCCTGGAAAGTGAAAGGAAATGAGTGAAGTGAAGCTTCCCACAATACGAGTTAAGGGACTTCAAGTAATCTTAATACGAGAGAGAACTTTATAGAATATGATACTTATGAATGGGAATGATGGCCACCCAACGTCAAGCATATGAACTCGTTATATCAATAGTTCTCTGTCTACTACCCCAGCGCATCTCCTATTACTTTGAATGATAGAACAATTCGAAAAAGGTAGCAAACATAGTAGAAGAAAAATAATCTCTTAGCTTCATCTGTCTCCTTGCCATTTGATGTTTACATATCCACTTTCACTTTGTATCCTACCAGCCAGTTACTAGATTAAACTATCTTGTACAATGAAAGAGATTGCATATTTGCTTCATCCAGAGCAAGTACAGTAGAAGAAATCACAGACATGACTCTTCTTGTCAGGGCAGATTCATGCTTTGAAATTTATGGGTTTGAGTTCGTAATTCTACCGCAACCTATTTGATTTACTGGGATCAAAACTCTACTGCAACCTGCCCCTTGTCAAGTTCAGTGACTGTCAAACACTATTAATATATAAAAATATCGAGTGGTATAAAATTTCCAAGAAAGAAAAAAAAACTTGTTCAATTAAGTTTTCTGGAAAAGTTAACACATCTACACGACCCCTAAAATTAAGTAACGCGTTAGGAAGATATCCCTACTGTTAAAAACCAGCATATTATGCGCACATTCAGACGAGCAGAGCAAAAAACACGACCCCTGAAGTTAAATACAACAAAAGTACAATAAACCCTTCTGTTATTGCCCCGAGCCAGAGATGATCAAGTGTACAAAAGAGTGATCGAGGATATGCATTTTTAAGCCTATATTTATCAACGGTTCCCATTTAGAGTCCTAAGATAATTTCAAAAGCATTTTTAATCATTCTTTTACCTTTTGGATTTGGATACTTGAATCAGTATTTCTTTCTCAAAAAGTAAGGTGATCATGCCACAAATTTTAACTTGGCAAGTAGCACAACCAGTGCTATGCTGCAATATGCCTCTTTTGGTTTACACAAGCCTAAAGCTATGCAATTCCAATAGACTTTGTTCATAGGATATTCTGCACTTTCTTATGCTGGGGTTTATGCATTTCACCACCATATTGCCTGATTGACTAATGTCCAGTGTCCACAGACTTCACACATGCAGTAGAAGGTGGAGCGAAAGAGAGTTGAAAAATTCTTTACTATTTCTATGTAGCTGCCTCGGTACTGTTTCATTTTTACAACCAAGGAACTCGAAGAGGAATAACAACAAAAATGCAGCTTTCTTTCAAGGTTCATTTGATTCAGTAAACACTTAATAGATGAAACTCTTACTCAAACGGCCAAATGTTATCAAACCAGCTCCACTGGATTGACAGCATTTCTAATACCTTGCCATTAATACCTGCAAAAGGAGAGAAAAATCCCCACCTTCTCCACGTGGAAATTATCGAATGATAATCTCAGGAAAGTAGGAAGTCATCACGTAGTTTTGATAGCCATTGGTTTACCTCGACCCATGGAGAATCCCTTAGTGCCATCCGACATACGAGGTACAGAAGATTGCTTGGCTGCTGCTGACTGATCAAAAACAGGCTGCCCTAGGCCAACACGATTGATATTTGAGGGGGCATTTCCCACACTACTTCCATGATTGATGTTTGACATGGGAGCCCCTAAATGACCTCCACAGCTGTTTTGATGAAACTGGGGACGTCCATGTCCACGTCCCTGACCCTGTCCTTGTCCCTTACCCCGACCACACCTTTTTCTCATCCCATCACTGTCAGGCTCCTCCTGCCGATGTAAAACAAAGATGAGGAAACCACAAAAATAAAACACAGACTACACTACAATATTATTGAAAACCAGTCTCTGCAGGATTATGTGGTGTGGTGCAGTTACTAAAATACTATCTAGACATGTTACCACATTTTAGGAATAAATACAGATTCACTTACTGCAAGCTCATTGGACCGAGCATCAAGATGGTGTGATGACTCTTCATTAAGCTTTTCATTGACCTCTAATGCAAAACTATCATCTTCCTTGAAGTTGTGTTCACTATCATGACCAACTTTTTTCCCTCGAGCTTGGCCACATTTTTCCTGTGAGTTCAACCAAAATCCATACATACATGATATTATTAAAAATAAGATCAAATACATTCGACGAAATTTATGCTGAGGCAAAAAGGGTTAATTTGAACTTGTATGACAAGTGGCACAAACAACAATTACACCTCAGTCCCAAACAAGTTGGGTCGGAAATATGAATCCACACTTCTTCTTTAAGCTCAACTCAGATCCTCTCATACCAAAACAATATAGAAGTAAATGTAAAAAATAAGATAAATATATATATTATATATAAATAATAGTAATAATAATGACATTAGAAGTTCTCTAGCAAGTCTAAATTGTACAAAATTGGGTAAGATCAACAAAATCTGGTAACAGGCCCAAAAGCTGTTCCTGTCCCTGTCAAGGGAGATCCAACCATCTTCATTTAATCAACACATTATAGTCAAGAAATTCTTCAGCACTGACTACTTCTGAACGGAAAGGAAAGGGATTAAACGGAAATAATGAATGGCATAATAAGATCTGAGTTAAAAATTAAATGTTTTCCTAGTCATCCATTTCTTCCCCTTCCTTCAGAAACAATCAACCCCTAGAATTATCTTATATTATCAACTGAAAAATCAATCACTATAACTGCATCAGAAGTACTCAGAACAAATATGGACTATAAGTGTGTAGTTTGGGCATCTAAATTATGTCAGCAACATTCATCATCAGTTCTCAACATTCATTCTTTTTTCAGTAACAAACAGAATTATCACTGCTTAAATCGTGTGGTTTCAAGTGTACACAGGGAAACACTGTTCAAGACTCACTGTGTGTCTAAGAAGTAACCGGACTTTTAGACAATTTCTCCAGTTATCCTCATCATTTAATTCTGCAACCTGCAATATAAGATCAAAAACGAAAATAAAGGATGCCAAAGACAGATATCCAAGTTTTGCTGGAAACAACATTATATTAACTCACCGCCCTCTCAGCCAATTTGATGGATTCGTATTCCACAAAAGCGTGTAACTGCATTCAGATGTCCAATTCAGATACTAGAAGGAACAACGTTATACCAAGTATAAATATAGACACCGCTATCTTATATGTGCCAGGCTACAGAACTCTGTTGCAGTATCAATTTTTTCCAGTCTTTGTTCATCCTATGATAGCAGAATATGGTAGTATGGTCGAGCTTTATTTCCAAAACAGAAGATCAACAACTCGAACATGATATTCATCATTTCTTATTTTAATTCTAGTTGTAGTTGGGGGAAGGCATCAACTTTCAAGATTTCACACTCATGCATAAACTACATATATCGCACAAATCACACCATCTGATGCTTACCTTGTTGCTGTACATCATACTATCTGATTTTGCGGTTCTAGATCCTGAAGAAGCCCAACCACTGGAATACTGAGGTTGGCAGGTGCGAATCATCTTCACACTGATGTATTAAGCAAAAGTCTTAAAAAGCTGTTGATATTTTCTATTAAGCAGATCTTTTGGACATCTGTATATAGACTGTAAGAAAAATTCTACCTTCCAACAGCTGAGAAAATCTTCATGAGGTTTTGGTGGCAGTGGTCCTCGGGCAAATTTTCAGCAATCACTATTCGAGACTAAAGGTGCAGGATGAGGAATATCAAAATGATAAATAAACAACAGAAAAACAATAAAATACTGATAAAAATCTGATATGAACTATTAGGTGGAAATAAATGTTTCATCAAATGTTTTTTGTTCTAAACTAGACAGCTAGCAATAAAAAAAGACCTACTAGCAACTCTTTCAAGTCGGTTTCAGTCAAAGAAATTTTGCGTTTGACCTTCATGCCATCGTCACGAACTACCTACAAGGACAAAAATCAAATAAATAAGTAAATACATTAAGTGAATAAAAAAAAGAAAGAGAAAACATGTCAGACAACATTATGGCTGAAACTTACATGGTGGAAGCACATGATCCGCAGAAGAAAAATTATTAACACAGACAGTGGATTATTTTAGGTTAGAAAGGGGGGTGAGAAGGTGAAGAGGAAAAACTCACAAGCTTTGTAGAGCTCCGCAAAACTTGAGCAAGCTGTGCATGACTATCTACAAGAGCTTTAATCTTCTTGAACAAGGCAACCACGGATATTGGTACTATAGCAAAGAAAAGAAGTCCAGGCAGACTTAAGAACGATCATCAGAAACAAAAACTTAAAAATATCTATAAAAACAAGAACCAACAAGAAGAGACTCAAAAACACAATTGCTAAGGAAAACCCCACCCCCACCATATTAATTACACAAAGTAAAGGCTAAAGGACAAATTACCATATCCTTCGGGATCCTTGAGCATATGCTTTATTAGATGATCAGTTGTTGCCAAATTTAAATCACTGAAGTAGAACTCCACCTACAGACAATGTGAGTATTCTGAATTAGAAGAATAAAGAAATAGCAGAGCAGTTCCCTCCCTCATGAATCTTAAACAATTTCACAAGCACTTCGAAATTTTTTGAAAATTTTGCAGCACAATTTTAGATCTTCAAAAGAGTTCTGTAATTTAAGTCAGCTTGTTATATACGGAGAGCTAGTAATTTACCATTTGCATAGAAGAGAAAATTCTAAGGAAACAAACGAATTATAAACAATAATAAACGAGCTCCTACTACTACTACGTCTCAATCCTAAACTAGTTGGTTAATTCTCCAGATCCATTGTGCTCTTTAGGGCAGTTTCATTTCAATGAATCTTAAACAATTTCACAAGCACTTCGAAATTTTTTGAAAATTTTGCAGCACAATTTTAGATCTTCAAAAGAGTTCTGTAGTTTAAGTCAGCTTGTTATATACTGAGAGCTAGTAATTTACCATTTGCATAGAAGAGAAAATTCTAAGGAAACAAACGAATTATAAACAATAATAAACGAGTTCCTACTACTGCTACGTCTCAATCCTAAACTAGTTGGTTAATTCTCCAGATCCATTCTGCTCTTTAGGGCAGTTCCATTTCAATACTCAATAATTCATCTTTAAAACAAATCTACCGTTCTCTAAAACTAGAGATTAATCATCTAGAGTAATTAAAAAAAACTAGTGTAAGTGATACAGAAATTTTTCTGCTTACTTGATTTATAATCTTTTGAAGAGCTTCTTCAGTCAACCCTCCATTTTTACTAGCATGATCCAAGTCAGCACCAATAACCATCTCTTGTGCAACTCCGGCCAAAACACCACCATAAAACGGCGACGGATACTGAACCGGCAATTGAGGAGCATAAACAAAATGGTTCTGAACCGGATGAAGAGTAGCAGCAGGAGTAGCGTACACGTGCACCAGCGTTTTCCCGGCCTGATTCAAATCGGTCAGCGACGTCGACGGAGAAATCGACGGAGACGATGAAGTTCGTGGAATGAATGCCGGAGCAAGCGCGTTGAGTGAAGAATTTCTCGAAAGAGAGGGCGGTGGATCGGACGGTGAAGAAGAGGCGGTTTGATCGAATGGACGGTCGGATGAGGATGAAGACGTAGCCGCCGATGAATTGAAGGAATCGGGGAGGGAATCTAACACAGTTGCCGATTCCTCCAGAGCCATAACTATGAATTAAGTGATATTAATTTTTGTTTTTTCTTGTTGTTGATTTCTTTCTTCTTCTTCTTTTTCTTTATTGTATAATTTTTAGATAGGTAGATTAGAATCTAGGGTCTAAGGAGGGAATTATGTTTACTAGTTTTAGCAATTCTTCTTATTCTTGTGCTTCTAATTTTCGGAACAGAAACAAGTTTTTTTTCACAATGGAAAAATCCCAGTAAAAGAAGAGAGAGAGAAAAAGGAAGAAACGAAAAACAGCGGAGAGGATTTCTCGATCTCCCTTTTATACTTGTTTTTTGTGTACTACTCTAGTCTTCACTCCAGAAGAAAGTATGTATGGGACCCAATCATTGACTCTCTTCCCTCTTTTTCCACCCCTTCATATCTTTTAGGTTTTCTTTTGATTTTGCCTCCCTTCCTCTCTTTTCTCCTTTTATTTTTTATTTTTTTTGTTATCCCTATTCCCTTTTTAATCATAGTTTCGAGGTTAATTTGTGAGTATCTTAATTATTTTATTTGAAAATTATAGTTTTATTTTATTATTATTCAAAAGCATGTATCATAACTATTTTATCAAATACTTATTGTTTTCAATCAGTACAATTGGATAATTCCCTGTAATTTTTAATGGTGTTTCATTTTTTTTCTCATGTTTGCAGTAAATTACACGCACCTCGATCATTTTACTAGATACTGACTCTCTCCTATCTTTTTTTATGACTTCTCATGACAAGAAAGGATACTTATTGTTAATGTGGAAAAAGATAAAATCTTAGTTAAAGCCAAAAGGATAAAGTGCCCTTTCTGTTTGTCCTATAGTCACAATATTTTTCCCTCCAAGTTTTTGTTCGTTTTTGTCAACTTCTTTTCCCGAAAGAAATTAGGCAAGATTTTGAGCATAAAGATTATTATCAATAAAAAGTAATAACAATTATTTTTTCAAACAAAACAAAAATGGTATTTATTGTCAAATTAAAAGTAGGTACAGATTTAATAATGCAAGCATAATCCTGCTAGGATGACAGATTGCTAAGACAGGTCCAAACTAGAGTACATAGCAAAAAGAAATTATTGAATTGAATGACACTAGGTTTGCACTTCTTGGCAGCTGAGGCAAGAAACTCACGCTCTTTGTTTTCTCTGATTAGCTATAGGAGCATTGAATTTTTGAGGTCTAAACCAAGAGCTTTATCGGCCTAGAGGTGGAGCCACACTAGGTAAGACATGATGTCCAAACTGAATATCTATGGGACTATGTCCATAACTCGGGTATCCCATGCTCGTCCAATGAGGATGGTAGGCAGTAACGTTCATCGCCAACATATAATTCTCAGAAACAGTATGGTCTTGAGCAACTCTCCATCGCTTGTTTACACCAACACCATCAAAAGGCATACTTGGTTTCTTCTTTTTCTTCATCTTTACTGCCTCCCCAACAACTACTGGACACTTTTCTACAGTCTTTAAAGCCCTTGAAGTCTCTTCTGTTTGAGAAGGTACATATAATACCTCTTCTTTTTGAGAAGGTACAGATAATACATCTACATTCACAGTTGATTCTATTTAGGCAGGGAATGGTACTTTAGGCAGGGGATTGGGTTCTGACACCATATCTTGAACTCGGGGAGCATTAACCCCATGCTCTGAACTACTGCTATTAGACTTGTTGATTCTGTTTATTATGTCTCTTAGAGTCATATTAGGCAAGAGGGTATTCGCAAGTATAGTTCTAGCCCCACATACGCAAATAGAGTTAGAGATAATATGTTCCCTTATACATTTATTGCAAAAACTACTAAAATAACATTTGCTTGCTATAACTGCAGAAATAAATTGATCAACGAAGATAAATTCAATTCTAATTCTTGATCAATCAAGATCCTGAACCAGCGTATGTAGGGCTGAACATACTTGAACATAATCTCGAGTTTGGCTTATCATGTCGGAGACCGGTTATACCCGTATACAGATAGTCCCCTCGTTTTTCGGAGAGTAGATGACGAGAAATGATATGAGCTCCTGATTTTCACTTTGATATACCATGACAGAAATGACAAAATAGTTGAAACGTCCCGTCGGTCTAGTCTCAATGGCATTAAATGCTTGTCAGTTGCCGGTCGGCCACTCCCAGATGTGAACCGTCGCTAGAAAACTATAAATACCCCTTACTTTATTCATTAAAACTTCACATCCAAGCCTTCTGCCCTCGTGTCTAAGAAATTTCAACACTATATTCTGGTTACTTTGAGATATTTTATAATAACTTCCATCTGTCTTCATCTCAAACCATCAAGTGTACTCTTTTAACATTCTCTTTTTCCTCTCTTTTCCTTCATTTTTAAAGAAATGGCGAAGACTTCAAAAATCGTTCCCCAAAACGAAACTTATTCTACCTTGCGGTCGGCTACCGAAGAGACTGTTTCGCGTACTGCTGTCGAGGAACCAGTACCGGAACCTCCTCTGAAATTGTTCATCCCGGGGGGGTGCCCGGTCAACGCTAATTTTAAGTTCGAAAAGCCCTCCTCCGTACGAGGCCGGTGCGAGGAGGACTCGAGGTACATCTGCTCGATCACCAAGGATATTCTCTCTAAAGTCAAAAAGGATTGTAACTGGGTTGGCAAACATGTGGTGGTTCCCGAACCTGATGAAGCCATCACCACCCACATCGAGGGATTTTTAAGTGTTTACACTTATCCCTTCACGCTGGGCCCCTTGGATCCGGTTATCATCATTTTTTGCAGAAGATACGAGGTAACCCTCGGTCAAATTCACCCTTCTTTCTGGAGGATCGTAATCCTCTTCTGTTTCTTTGTAAGCAAGATAGAAGGGTGCCCTTTCACTATTGACCACCTTATGCGTTTATACAATCCCCGATTATATCAGGGGAACTGATCAAGCTCTCCCGTCGGGCCAATAAGGCCTCGTTCTCGAGTATCGATGAAGATCGGGATCGAGGTTGGCTAGGCCGATTCGTCCGAGTGAGGACCTCGAACTTGATCACGGTCGAGCACATGTCATTCCCTGAGAAGTGGAACATGTCATGTAAGTATAATTTTTCTTCCAAGATTTGATTTATCGCTTTTTGTTTTTTTATCTTATCAGTGTTTTGTGGTGATGCAGTTGTTGCCCGAATCCCGAATGCAATTCCTCGACTCAAGAAATGGGTCAAGGGCATCGTACTACAAAGGCCCTACTTAACGATCATGGTGCGGACTTTCAAAGGGTTGATGGGAGGCCCGTTCTCATGGTGAGATCTCTTTCACAGGTAAATAATACTTGACTTCCTTTTTGATTCATTAAGTTCTCACTTGTTTTACTTCTTTTTGCAAGTTTATCCAAGGATGTCACACTGAGGCATTCATCTTGTGATGCGAACCTCCCTGCCGAGTCCCCTACTCCGAGACAGGCCAGAGAGAAGAAAAGAAAAAGGGTTTCGAGCTCTTCGAACTCGGAGAAGGAGAAAATAAAGAGAAGGCTGGTGTGCAAGTCTAAAGAAAGCACCAGCGCTCGAGCATTATTTTCGGATTCACTCTATCGGTTGAGGGACAAATCCGAAGAAGAAGAAGAAGAAGAAGCCTTTTATTTAATGGTCCGCGTTTCATCGCGACTCGAAGGGCAAGGTGCCTCCGAACCGGAGAGGGGCGAGGCTGATCTACCTCAAGTTAGGGAGGCCAAAGAGGAAGTCGTAGCCGAAGCTTCTCGGGATGTGGGCCTTCTTCAAGCCCGAAGCTGGTCAACCGATTTCCAGCTCCGAGTTTGGATCCCGATTGGAAGCGGTCATTCGTCATCTCCATTTCGGAGGATGCCCAGATCCTCTATGCCCCTGTAGGGGTGGCCAGCTACCTTCAGTGTTTGGCGACCGAGGAAGAACAAGCTAAGATGAGCGAGGTAGACGCGTCCTGCTTGTTCAATGAAGCACAACGGGCGCTAAACCAAGTAACTTCAAATATATCTGGATGATTTCAATTCATACTTAGACTAACTTATAGATAATCTTAACACTTTTCTTTGTGTCTGCAGGCCTCAATGTTGCATCATGAGACCTTTCTCCGATATCAGGATGAGCTATACCAACTTGAAGCTGAGGTCCGAGGGTTCAACGAGAAGAGAGATTCTTAAAAACTTCTCAACGAGCAACGTGAGGGGGAGGCTAAGGGCCTTCCAGCTGAGCTGGATGTGGCTCGGAAGGAGAATGCCGACTTGGTCGAGCAGGTAAAAATATTTGAGGTTAGTGACGATGAGATAGGTTTGGTGACTAACAGTCGGAATCCGCAGGTCCAACAAAAAATCGATCGGTCAACCAACTTCGAGCTGAGATGGATGCTTTCAAGGCCGAGACCGACGAATGGAGAGGTAGGATGGACCGTCTGGCCTCGGAAAAGGAGACTGCTCGGGCGCAGCTGGCTTCAGTTGGAGTTCAGCTTCGAGCGAAAAAGGAAAAGGCTGAGGTGCAAGCCAAAAGGGTTGAGGAGCTCCAGTCTCAGCTAAGCGTAGTCATCTATGATTGAGAAAATCTTGCCAAGGAGCTAAAAACAGCCAAGTCGGTGGTCACTGTTGTTAAAGTCGATGCCGACGAAATGGTGGCCCAATATAAGGCCGATGCTGAGGTGGCCCAGGCCGAACAAAAGATATCGTCGAGCATGCGAAGCGGCAATCCCGAAGGGAGGCCCTCTAGGAGATTCATGCTCGAGGTTTCGACTTGTCGACCGAAATCGAGAGAGATAAGGGGCTCGAAGACGAGGACAAAAGTTTGGCTTATCCCGAGGAAGACTCCGAGAGTTCGAGCGTATCCGATGGAGAAGGAGACTCCGAAGACCCTAGCGACGAGGCTGGCTCCGGTGAAGACCAGGCCATTTAACTACCTTGTATTCTTTTGTATTTCTGTACTTGTGTACTTTTGTATTTTTTGTCAAGGCCGTTTGGCCTTTGTAAAGACTGTATATATAATATAAGGCTTGTTTTTCCCTTCGACAATATCTTAGTTTTGTTGTGTACTTTGCTTTATTATTTACATTTGCAAAGATCGAAATGTCTTAGCATGAACTAGTTAGGTCATGTTCGGAGGTTCGAACAGGCCTTGCCTTTGACATTATTTTGCGAAGGCATCATGGGGATTTGGTATGACTAGAACCTTTCCCCAAGGTACTTAAATAATAGTTTGTTGAGGGTAGCCTTTAGAACTGGTTTAGAAATTTTTCAAGGCCTTGTTTTTTTTTTATTACGGGTCAGAGACGTCTCCGAGCCATTTTAATATG